TATATATATATATATATATATATATACACACACACATACATATATATCTTTGTGGTTGAACCAGTATATATTTAAAGAGAGTTAAGGCAGAACCATCTTGAGTTTCATTCTCATCTCTATTTGTCTTCCCAGGCCAAATTCATGCTAATGGCTATCATATACCTTCTTCAAGACATCTGCAGTTTTCCACCTTCTCACTATAGAAGGCGCTGAGTTCAGAGTTTATCCAGCAAGCAATTCTAGTATATTGCATTAGTCACAGAGGCTAGATGTTCTCTTAAATATATTCTACTAGCAAGTTGGGAGAGATTGTTTCTGATCTTCCTGACAAAACTTGGGAAAGATTTATTCTATCATTGCATATTACTGACGATAGCAATGAAGAACTGTCATATCCATACCTCCAACTGTTCTTCTGTACCTGAAAAGTTCTAGGGACATCAGATTGGCTGCTATTAGAAAACCAACCACTGGGCTAAATGTATCCTGGATCAAAGCAATTAGATTATTCTCCTGCAAATATCATTACAAATCAATATTTCCCCAACCCAATATCCTTGACAGGTTTTTTCAGTCTTTCCCCCCATAATTCTCAAGCAGGTAGGAGTTATATTCAAACACATATAGAAGGGAATCAATTGGAAAAGGCGCCTCTGTTTTTTTGCAAAAAAATATTGGGCAAAAATACATACATGGTTGGAAAAAATGGTAAAGCAACATATTGATTTAAAACCAGAAAAAGCTCCTCGGAATGCCATAATTTTCCTAATCTTCCACCAACTCATATCTTCAAGCTTACTTCATATCCCATGGTGGTGGTGGTGATTTTTCCACATAGAAATGGCTTCTGCCCTTACTACCAATAATGCTGCCTCTTCTAATTCCAAATGCATCGTTTTCTCTCTAGTTTTCAGATTAAAACCACCTCGTTTCCTGTCTGTCATCTAAACAGTTGAAATCTGACGCATTCTGGGGTCTTGCTCTGTTTCTTCAATACACTCACAGTTTGCACTGTGGTTGAGGTTTTTGCATCTCCACCAAACTTTACAATCCACAAAAAGAAGAAGAAGATGATGAGGCATAACAGGAAAGGTAACCTGAGATTCTCAAAGAGTGGAGTTTTATTTCCCAAAAGACTGTTCTCCCTTATGACAAGAGGTCATGAGAGAATATGCTTTTGAGATTGGGGAGTAGGAAACCTTTGGCCTGCCAGATGTTGCTGGATTACAGCTCATAAGGGTCCTGTCAGCTAATGCTGAAAAACAGTGAGAGTTGCAGTTCATTTTTCACACCCCTGCTATGATTGTCATCCTCCAGCCCATTCATAAGGCTAGATGTGAGTCCTCAACAGGGATGGGTTCCTGCCAGTTCTAAGCTCTTCTATAGAAGAGGTTCCACAAATCTACAGTGGCATTTAGAATCGGTTCCAGCTCCCTCCCCCCGCCCGTCCGCACATCATCAAGATGAAGAGCAAGACGAGGAATTCTGGGAGTGGAAGTCCACAAGTCTTAAAGCTGTCAAGTTTGAACACCCCTGGGGGCTTTTTGTCTAAAGGGTGCAAGGGCCTTGACAGCTTT